GATGGTTTTGGACGTCTTAACAAATTCTATGATGTTTTTAAAATAAAGTGTCGTATTAGTTATTTTATACAACACGACTTGAAAAAATGTCATATGAGCATAGGTGTCCTATAAATAGACGAGTTTACTAGACACTTCTCAAAATGTTTCTATAAAATAACTAATACGACATTTTATTTAAAGATCATTCTAACACTTGTTGAAACGTCAAAAAACGTCCTATAAACCTATTGCAACATTTTTAGATAGGACGCTTTATAGTATGGTCTATAAACTTAAGATTTATAAATTATTTCATTCGTCAAATTATGTAACTACTAACCCGCCAACCCAACTCAACCCGCAAGGGTTGGGTTGGGTTATACTTTTGAATGGGTTGGGTTGGGTTGAGATTTTCCAAACCGTTATGATTGGGTTGGGTTGTAAAATTGTTGTAAACCGCCCAACCCAACCCGCGTTCACCCCTATGCAGAAGGATCCATCTATAATTATATATGTGGGGATGTTTATTTATTTGAAAACTTTAAAATTTGTGAGATTCAATCTCAACCATTAATTTAAGATATATAATAAGGTAATTAAAGATTTTTTAGAAATTTAAATTCCATAAATATCTCCCCTTTCTCTCTCTCCTCTCCTCTCTCTTAGCATACACGCAGGATTAATAAATGTATACATAAGATGAACTTATTATGAACACTATATCTTTTGTCATTTTAAGAGATTCATGTTTTAAGAATAATAATCTTTCTTAAATATCTCATATGATACCAAATTAACCAGATTTATTTTAGAAATTATTACTTCCTTAAAAATCTCAATTGGTTATCACATGTAACTGATTTCAACGCATTTTTCAAACTGTTTTGTTTCTCATATGAAACCAAACCAAATTATATTTTCTCATATAAACAATAACGGTTTTCGTTACCCTAATTTCGTATCAGTGTTGTTTTCATGAAACAACACATTAACCTTTTAATTTGTGATCATTTTGTTTTTCATATGAAACCAAACCGATTATTGTTTCTTGTATGAAACAATTACAGTTTTCTTACATAGTTTCATACCAGTGTTTTTTAAAATATGAAACAACACATTTATTTTTTTTAACCAATTCATA